ATGTGTGTGTGTGTGATTTAAAAACCATTAAACCTTATTTATTTGCGTATGGATGGATGCGAACAGGTACTGCCTCTGGAACTAGAGGCGAAATACAAAGACAAATTCGGCAGAGCTCTGGGGCTGGCCATGGGCTTAATCTCTATCATGTACGGAGCGTTTGGGCTGCTAGGGTACATGGCTTACGGAGACGAGACGAGAGACATCATCACCACCAACCTGGGGACAGGAGTGGTGAGCACTCTGGTGCAGCTGGGCCTAGCAATCAACCTCTTCTTCACATTTCCCCTCATGATGCACCCTGTCTATGAGGTCATCGAACGCCGCCTCTGCAGCTCCCGTTATTCCATCTGGGTACGCTGGGCAACTGTGCTGGTGGTAACGCTCGTGGCCCTGCTCGTCCCTAATTTTGCAGACTTCTTGTCTCTGGTGGGTAGCAGCGTCTGCGTGGTGCTGGGCTTCGTCTTGCCATCGCTCTTCCACTTGCAGGCTTTCAAAGGCGAGTTGAGCATCACACGAATGGTGATTGACGTTCTCGTTTTCCTCATTGGTGTTATGATAGCTGTTACCGGGACCTGGACTGCCGTACATGAGATCTTGACATCCAAGGCCTGATCTTCTGCCCATTGTTTATTCTTGTCGGTAGAAAAAAAGAGAAGCATTGTTACCTCCACTGTACACGGCAGCATTATTGTTATTCTGTTACCCTCCTCACTTGTTTTGTCAAGTCTTAGTACTACTATTTGTAAGAAAGACTAATGAAAAGCAATAAGAATATTGAGCTTAGAATCATTTGGTTTTATCATATGAGAAAGGCAAATCGGATTAGATGGCTGAATGAGCTTCACAGCTTTGAAATGTGGAAGAAGCAGGCAACAAATAAAACGGGGTTGAATCAAATTGCGAATTTTCATTATACCATCCAATCTCACTCACATTCCATGGACTTGATACGAGCACCAATGCGGCTCTTGCCAGCTTCATCACAATTGCAGAAGCCACGTCATTTGGACTTTGGCCGCCCTCTCTTTCTGGTCACTTGAGTCCCCTCTTTTGCTCCTTCTCCCCCTGCTGATTCGTTCAGTCTACTGGAACCTAACTCCATGCCAAGGCCATTGAAATCCACTGTCTTGGAAATGTCATGCTCTGTATTCGGCCTCTCTCCTAAGCCTATGGGAACCTCGCACTGGTCAATTTTGCGCTCACAACTCGAAGAAGAGTTTGACATTATGCCCTGACTGACGTCCCCTAATTGCAAGTTGGAGGGTAGTTCTTCATCCTTAGAGTACAACAAGTCATCATCAGCAGCAGGCTTCTCCCTGGGATGTGCGTCTTGGACAACCGGCTGGTTGGTGTTGTGAAAGGAGGCAATCAAATCTAGAGCGGCCTTAGCTGCAGCAACGGCTTTTGCTGCAGCGGCAGCTTTCTCATCCGCGGTAGCTCTGGCAGCCTTT